CTTATATTATATTATTTTTTATAATAGATCTTCTTAATATAATTTATCTTATAGTAATATTAGTATTTAAGTCTATAATAATCGCGCTTTTTCTATTAGGTTATTCTAAGTTTTATAGGTCTTATATAGGTTTTATAAGATATATTAGCTTATTAAGATTACCCCTAGTTAATATTAAATTAAGGTTTTTAATAATTTTTTTTATTATTATAAGGGTTTTAGAGTTTCTTCTAAGAAAATTATTAGTTATTAATCTTAATTACTTAGCTAATATAATTAATAAGGTTATTAAATTAGTCTTTTTTATAGAGTTTAGCCTATATTTCTTTCTTAAGTTTATTAAAGAAAAAGGATATTAAGGGTTCTTAGTCTTAATTAAGCTTCGAGGCGAGCTAAAGGTATTTAGTATTATATTCTAATATAGAGTAAGTTTATTAAAATACCTTAATTTCTCTTTTTACTTAGGCCTTTTTATTTATTATTTTAAAAGCTTATTAAAATATAGCTTTAAAGGCTTTAAAGCTAGAATAAAGGTTTATAATTTAAGGTAAGTATTTATTAAGTAATTTAATAAGATATTTCTTTATAATAGGTTTAAACTAAGCTATAATATACTTAATAAGATACCTAGCGGTATATTAGACCTTATTAGATATTATAATAAACTATATAAGGTAATAAAATATAAATATATATAATTATATAAAGAATATTAATAACTTATATATAATATTATTAATCTTCTTTAATTATTCTAGGTTTAAGATTTCTCTAATATTTTTACCCTTTATAATAATAACTACTATATTATTAATATTCTAGATATTCTTATAATATTACTAATTTTAAGCTTATTAAATAATAATTATGCGATTAATAAATTCTCTAAGTTTTTTTATTTTAATAATTATAATAATAACCTAGGCATAGAATTACTTAATTTCTTTATTATTATTATTTATCTCTTTATTATTATTAGGATTAGCCTAAACTAATATAATAAGGGCAAATAAGTAATTAATAGGTAAAACCTATTAATAGTTATTACTAAGAATAGCCTAAATAATTATTATATTTAATATTATTTAAGGTAATATAAATAATTTAATAAATAAGAGCTATTAATATATAATAAGAGGATATTTCCTAAGGGATAAATTAATTATATTAGTTTATATTAGTACTAGATTATATTATATAGCCTTAAAAGTTAATATAATATTACGTCTAATAATATACTTAAGGGTATTAAGTATAATTAAGTTATATTAATAGCTAAAGTAGCTATTATATAAAGAAGTATAATAAGTATATTCTATATACTTATAGTTAGTCCTTAGACTAATATTCTCTAGGTTTAATCTAAGGTAAGATTAATGTTTCTAATATTCTATCCCTAGACCGATGCGGGCGAAGTTTAGTCCTTTCGGTCCCTTACTTAGTTAGAGTATTTCTGCTATATTTCCCCGCCTAGCTTATATTATAGCCGTGATAATTATTATATATTAATAAGATATATAATAGCCTTAAAAGCCTTAAAAAGGACTTTAAAAATAAGGCTATATTACCTAATAAGGTTAATATATTAATTTTATACCTTTTTAGATTTTTTTATTAATTATATTTATATTAAGAATATTATATTAATTATATTAATATAATTTCTAAAGGCTTAGAAAAACTAAGGAAATATTTTCCTAGAAAACTAAGCTTTCCTATTAATCCTACTTATAAATAAGTTTTTTCCCTTATTTAATATAACTTAGTACTAATATTAATTAATAGGGCTTATATTATTAATATTATTCTTAATCTTAGGTTTAAATTAGCCTATTTTAGACCTAGAGAAAGATTATATTATTATATTAATATAAATAGAGATATAAAGGGTAAGTCGATTTTGGTCTAGGGTAGGTGGATTTTGCTCCAGGGTAGGTGGGAAAATCGGAAAAATCCTCACATTTGGGGTCAGACCAGCGGGACCCCATTCTCCAGCTAGGGTTTCACTCCTACAACCACTATCGTTCCATCTTCTTTCCCAAGAGTATTTTCGCTTAATAGGTAATTTCAATAAGACCTGCCAGAGCACCACCGGAAACATTAGCGCCGAAACATAACGACGAGTGAATTTCCGCCCTGACTATCTATTTCTAGATGCCCGATAGAACAGAGGCTACAGCTCTGCTTTCCACGAGACGTAGTCTAAGAGATCACTCGCTAAAAGGGGGCCCAAGAAGACGCCCAAGGACACCGATCTCTCGTATATCTCGTATAGTACTTTTAAAACAAAAACTAGGCGAGTCAAATCAATGACCTCAACAGTGTTAGTTATCCTAGAAATAACTCAGGTCTTTCGACGTGGCGTGGAAGAATTCCCGTAAGTCCCGTTGATAGAATTACTAGTCGACAGCGATCGCGGTTTGTTCACAATGATGTATATAAAGATCGCATAGAGAAAAGTTCGTGACCTCCTCTTGATGGCGAATCATATGCTTTTTGACAATGTTGATATGACGAGTTTGAGAGAGGGTTATAAATTAACCTGTTGGGCTGGTGACTTGCGTAATCCGCGTCTTGAAATTGGTTAAACCTCAAGTTCCGTAACCTGCGTCTTGAGTTGAGTCGACTTTGACTTCCGTAATCCCCGTCCCTGAAGGGTAGAGTAGACAGTTATTTGCGTAATCCCCGTCTTGGCTTTATTGCCTTGGGTTCCGTAATTCTCGTCCAACACCAAGTTCCGTAATATGCGTATTATCCTTCCCTGAGCGTCGATCTCCATAGTAAGAGGTATAGCTGGATTTTCTAGAAGCTTCTCGACAGCTATGATCTACGTTCAGTACCGATAAGGTCTATACAGAAGTAAAAAATAGATACCCCGAATGTTAATGCCAGTTCGATGAAGTGTTTCTTTGGCAATTCCCGCCAACGCAAATAACAGAAGTTCTTTTACTCTTGTCAAGACGGCGATTACGGAGTCATATGGCAATTAACCTAATACCTCAGAAACCAAAGAAGATATCTATAAACTCCTTCAGCTAAGCAACGCCGCATTATAACTGAACCCTAGCATAGTGGCCTTTTTCACCATTCTGCTGCCAGCATCAGAGAGTGATAACAAGCTGCATCACCATGAAAGATTAAACGCCCAGTGGAGGGTTCACACTACATCCTGATTATCTATAGAGAAAACAGCAAGCTAACCCCTCCAGCCGGGCAGCCTACCTCGCCAGTCTAGGTGCCCGGACCCATCAGGTTACTACTGGCATAGGCTGCCCTGATAAGTCCACACATGTAGCTGGGTTTCACGTAGCTGCGCTTACGTTGAGCGTTATACTTTCCCACGGCCCTTATTTGTTTGCCTGGCAGGGTGAAAGTATGACGGAACTTAATATTTGCTACTTCTGAAGTACTACTAGACCTTGACACTTAGTGCTTCGTTTTTTAAGTATGCATATACCTGATCAGTCGCACCGTTTGTAGTGGCAACCTGGGTCGCCTCTGTTGCAGCCGCGATGTGGGGAGTCCCAATAGAACCTGGGCAAGCCCAAAGACGCTCATAACGGTCCTTTGGCGGCGGCTCTTCCTCGTGGCAGTCAAAGCCAGCGCTAGCGATGATACGCTCCTCCAACGCCCTCGTCCACGATTCCCCCTCTTGCTGTGTTGATCAGGATAGCTGAGGCTTTCATCAGCTTCATATGATCATAAGAGATGAGGCCCCTGGTGGATGGTGTCAGAAGCACGTGTACGGAGACGATGTCAGACTCCTTCAGCAACTGCTCGAATCCATGGACACGTCTGTTCGCTATCTTGGCCTAACTAGGACCAGAATCCTCAGGGAAGTGAGGATTATAGTTGATGATAGGCGTCCGTAGACTACCTTGAAATATGCGGGCTGTCTCTCGCTTAATGTTTCCTATGCCAATAATCCCAAGTGTCTTGCCTATGATGAGCTGGCCGGTTATGGTCTCCTTGCGCACCGTCTTACCCTGTACCTTCTGTCGAATGACGATGTTAGGGACGTCCCGAGAGACGCTTAATGCGAGGTATACCGCTATCTTAGCCACAGCCGTAGCATTGACCCCAGGAGTATTGAAGACCTTTACCCCATGGCCTTCATATGCCTTCATGTTAATGAGGTCGAGGCCGATGCCTTGCTTTCCAATGATGCGGAGCTGCAGTGTAGCCTGTAGATCCTCCGCCGTAATCGTGTAATTCTTGATAAGAATGGCGGCGGCGTGCTGGCGCTAGTTTGCGGCTTTAGGGGACGTGTGAAGAACATAGTCGAATAGGGACTGAGCATGCTTGACGGCTTTTGGGTGAAATTCGCTGAGGATGTAGAGCCTGGGAAGACTTAGGATGACGTTTGTAAGTAGGCCTATCTTCCGATCGGTTGTCGACTCCCTTTTGACTTTGATCTTTTTTGTGGGAAGTGTTGAGGTGAGGTTGATTATTTTATGCTTCTCCGTCGCGGACCTTATGCTTTTTTTTTTTGCGTGGACTTTCGTGCTTTCTCTTTGTCCCCGATCTCCATCACCTATTCTTGGGGCATAAATCTTTGACATAAATATAAAACTAGATGGGTAAGAGGAAAGTCCGGTTAACTATAACGAGTTGTGAACTACTGAAGCCGATGCATCGGAAATAGTCAAGTAGCCGGAGAGCGGTCCCGGAAACCTCAAATGCTCCGGATTGTGAAGTACTGAAATAGCCGCCCCACTGACATATTGGCACGTCGATCAGGACTTAGTGTTTGATGGAATCGAGGCTGAGCGGAATCAGTCTTAGGATCACTACACTGGGCAATGATTGATAATATAAGGCCGGTTGTAGTTTGGAAGAGCCTTGGGAAATAAAAAGGCATCTGACACCAGGTCGTGAGCAACAATCCACGCATATACCACAGCAAGAACAGACTTTCCCCACATTGAAGAAACAACTATGGCTTCATCTACTGTCGATTCGGCCACCCCCCAGTCGAACATATCGAATGCTTCCAAGCTCACTGGCGACGAGCGCGCCGCTGCCCTTAAGAAGAATGGCTTGGACCGCCCCTTGAACGAATTCACCTACGGCGGCCATCCCTTGTCTGGGCCACAGACAAGACCCGTAAAACAGATCAGAATCCCTCGATTTGCGTCCCTGGAGGACGAGCGTGAATGGAGTAAGCTCTATCACGCCGCTGCTCTGAGATGGCTGGGCCTCAACGGGTATAATAACGAGGGCGCAGGTGGCCACCTCACGGTCCGTGACCCTATTCTTCGTGATCCCTTTTGGATTAACCCTCATGGTGTTTCATTCTCGTACATGAAGCCAGATGATCTTTGCCTCATCAATGAAAATGGAGAGGTTATGGAGCCTGGCAATATGCATGCTGTCAACCCTGCCGGCTTCGTAATTCACGTTGTCGTCCATAAGGCCCGTCCTGATGTTGTTGCCGCCTGCCATTGTCATTCAATTCCAACCAAGGCCTTCTCTGCCCTTGGGTGCAAGCTAGAGCCAATTAATCAGGATGGATGCCGCTTCTATGAGGACCATTCCATCTATGAAGGATTTGGCGGCATCGCCTTCGCGCAAGAGGGAGAACGAATTGCCAAATCCATTAGCAACAACAAAGGCGTTATTCTGGAAAACTACGGCATCTTGACTGTGGTCAAAACGGTTGATGCTGCGACATTCCTATTTGGTGCAATGGATAGGTGCATCTAGACTTAGCTGTTGGCTGATGCCGCGGCGGCTAGTCGAGGAACGCCCACTATCAAAGTCAGACACGAGGAGGCCCAGTTCACTCGTCGTCTCTATACAGATGAAATGGAATACATCATGTTCCAGTCTTAGTACGTTTAGATGAGACTACCTGCCGCCATGGATGACAACTGACTTTGTTACTAGAGCTTCGAAGACGTTGTTCGAGCGTCAAATGGGGAGCTTCCTATGTCGACAGGCAAAGAACTCCAGAACAGGGTAGAAATAAGGATTCATAGAGGATTTTCGATTGATATAACGCTGTACTGTTGGCATTTCCCAGCTTAGGTTGGCTTCATTTCCCTGTCGCACCATGACCACAAAGGAAAGATAGCTTTCAAAGACTTTGCCTATATATCATCACGTTTCCTATTGTACAATTACTTCCTCCTTGACACATGGCAAATAACACACGTATTCTTGCATTCAAACCTCAGGCCAGTCAGGTGCTCGACCTACATCATAGACTTCAGTTAAATAGCCGACTTGACAAGTGGGCGTGTAGTCAAGTCGGCCGGATTTCACCCCACATTTGGATATTTCAGATCGTTGACTTTAAAGACTGTGATGCTAATAATTTCAAGACGCATGACCGACAAAACCACGTCCCTGCTTTCATGCTTACCCACCCTCCTCCACAAACCTCATTACGACTAAGATTGCGAACACCAGGCGTCTTAATAAGATCCCCATCTTTTCCTACTAGAGGGTGGACAGTACCACCTTCGAAATTTATGCTCCAGGCGATCACGGCATGAGTCCTCCTCCCCCAAAGTCTCTCAGGGCACGACAACGCGTTCGACGGGCCTGCGATCTATGTAAAAGGTATATACACTGGGACGCCATTGTGCACCAATTTCCTTGATGGAAGCGCACTAAGAAATGACATATCTGTCCAGAAAGAAGATACGCTGCACGGGGGATCTGCCATGTGAGCTATGCATACGCGACGGCCTAGACTGTACGTACATGGCACCGTACTGTCGAGGACGACGGAGACGAAATGCGGCTTTGAGCACCACTGCCTCAGCCTCTCTCATAACACATTCCGTTTCGTCTGCTAGTGATTGGCCATTGGAGCCTCAAGCCGACGACCAAGATGCCATCGTTTTGCAAGACTCTCCGGCTGAAACTAATAGCCAAACCCTGGGTTTCACCACTTATCAATCCCAGAGGGCAACATCTCGACCCTCGCCAACACCCGGAGAGCGTGACAGACAGGGACATTTCATAGGTACTTCATCGGGCCTCGGCTTCTTGTTCCGACTACACCGCCGTCTAAAACACAACACGGGAGGAGCTTCGTCCCAAACATCCATCTTCACTCTTGGCGATCCAGCACTCCCAGCGTTTGACGAGATGAGTTTTGCTGTACCAACTCACCACGACGCCAATGAGTTGACACGAACTTACTTTGAGCTTGCTTCCCCAACGTACCGGTTTCTTCATCGACCTACAGTCGAATCCTTGGTAAGCACCTATACGAAAACGGCAGCATCACTGGCCCACATAGCAACAGCAAGTATGCCGTTGTCTTGATCATGTTTGCAAAGGCTTCGAGATACAGGGGTGATGTGGTGTCAGCAAGCTTACTAGAAGGGTAAAATAGGCCCAAAACATCTAGAATGCAGTACAACAGGGTTCATTGACTAACTTGACGATTCCAGGCTTCAGTACTTTCAGGCAGCTGAACAGCAGCTAAATTGCCAGACGGAATCTGCATCATTGACAAGTGTTCAAGCCCTTTTGGGATGCTGTTTCTTTGTCCTAACGTGTTCACGACTCAACCATTGTTGGAGCCTCTTCGGAACGACTTCCAGACTCATCCTGGCACTTAGCCTACATCGCAGGAAAGTCCAAAGTGCACAGCTGTTCCCAGTCGACCACAACGAGGCAGAGTCTCGGAAACGGCTATTCTGGTTTGCATACAACCTAGACAAACGCCTAAGTGCCATATTCGGTCGACCTTGCGCACTGCAGGACGATGATGCAGACCAGGAACTGCCGGCTCTTGTGGACGACAGCGAATTAACCGTGAGCACCACAAATGCTACGACAGGAAATAGTATGAACGTAATGCTGTGCCCCCTTCATAGTCAAAAGCTCGGTCGGATCCTGAATAAGATCCTGAGGCGTCTTTATGGGATCCGAAACCTAGATCGGCCGATGCGGGATCTGGCAATGGCAGAACTTGGCTCAGACGTGGATCAATGGAGGAACGATCTGCCTGCGTTTCTTAATCCGAATAAAGTGGACTCACGTCTGCTCAGGCCTCTCTTCCAGCGGCAGAGCAACCTTTTAACCTTGGAAGCCAGCCATGCTGAGATTCTCATCTGCCGCCCTTGCCTGCTGGACGACTACAAAGAATATGATGCATTCCAAGACAACTAAGACACTATCTCCAACGTTCAGCGGTGTTTGAACGCCGCTCTAAGCATCGTCTCCGTTATTACCATCATGGCCGATGCTGATCAGTTATTTGCGGCATCATGGTTTACACACTACCAAGCCTTCTGTGCTGCTGCTGTGCTGTACACGCTCACACTCAGGAACAGTTTTCAGGATTCGTCTGTGTGGTCTAAGTACTTCCAGGCTGCTGAGAAATGCCAGGGCACGATCGCAGCAATCGAGTCAGAGGACTCTTTTGCACGACGATTTTTGCTCATCATGGAAGAATACCGTTTAGAGGTAGTTCAAAAGGTTCAGCGGGACTCGGATGGTCTGGCTCTCTCGTCAGAACTCCTGTTACTTGATGGCAACTCAGTCGAAAATAATGGTCTAATGGAAGGTGGGAGAGCCATGGATAATGTCGCTTTCCTCATGGATCTTCCTAATTGGGAACAATTGGATTCCCTGGTAAGCTTCACCTTCTACAGTATTATCCATAGCACGAAAGATTCGAGGCTGACGTTGTGCTGTGGGCTCTGGATATAAGTGACCTTGTCCCTGGCATGGAAATGGCCATGGAACCAGAAGAGTGAAGAGGAGAATCAGTGGGAAAGCCGGATCGGTCGTTCGACGGGCCGTTCGGTAGAAACAACATATTGCTGGGAGTTCCCAAATCCCACGTGGTAACCATAGCTGTCATCGAAATTGAAAGCGTCTAATCTACCAAGTTGTTATGCGATCATATGGAGTAGCTTCACCACTGAACCTTCCTCCAACTCCTCAACCAGGGCCTTAATTTCCTGGGCCTTCTCTTTTCCGAAAACCGGAATCACGAGGCTAAACTACTTGGCCTCCGCCTGGTCTCGGTTGAAAGGGTGCTCTGGCTCGCCCAAGGGGAAAGGTATGTCGACATCATGGCTCTCCCCATCTGCGTACTCAATGTGCAGCTTACTACCCATTGCCTTCACCGTGTCATCGATGATGCATTCTATGTTGTCTGACAAGATCCGAATGGGCTCATCCTTGAGCCGTTTCGCAAACTCAACCCCGGTTTCAGGCCCATAGAGCCAAGCATGGGCCAGTTGAAAATATGCGGAGAATTGGGCATCGACGATGTTGTTAGGATGCAGCTTGTTAGAGATTCGTGACCCCACCACAATATGATTGGGGGAGCTCAGAGAAATGGTCATCTTCTTGACCTCGCGGCCCTTGTTCTGGAGACCAATGCTTCCTCCCACCTCTATCAGGCCGTGCGTCATTCGGCAAGCTGGATACGGCTTCAGGACCGTCTCCAAAAAATCCCAGCGCACTCCAAGGTCAGCCGTGAGGGACGGCAAATCGTGGCCAGTTCGCGGAGTGTAGCTGTGCAGAAATCCATACTTGCCCTCAATGCTTCTAGCCGCCCCCACGACGCCAGCTTCAGCGAGAGATACACAGACGAAAGCGTCGTGAACGGCAAATCCCGGATGAATCCGCTTGTTCCAGCTTCCATTCTCCAAATACTGCATTGACCCAGCGGCCTTTGAAAGGGCCAGCCCAAAAGCAGTTTCGATAGTTGAGGCCCTGAACGATCTGTTCGGTGGACTCCTACTCATGTGATGTAGCAATCGTGACCCCTAGGTAATCCAACAAGTATTCCTTCAGTCGAGAAATTAGAGTGAGTGGAAGGATCGAAGGCTCGGCGTTGGCGGTGAACTCAGCAAACAGTTTGGTCACTGGATGGAGTTCATTCGACGAAAGGGTGGTGCTACCGTTGGAGCTTAACTGGGCAGTCATTGTAGTGTCCTTTGGTGGTTGATAGCGACAGGCGTCCAAGATTGATGTTGAAACTAATTAACAGAGATTCAAATGCTATCAGACTCCTTTTGGTAGTTTATTCTCAAGTATGACGTCCGGTAAATATAGCATAAAATGGTAGGGATAATAAACCATCGTTCGGCTATTTCGGCAACATCATGAAACACCCCGCAACGGGGAGATATCTTGTTGGCCTTGCCCGGCTAACACGTGAAAATCTCATTAACCGGCTAATATAATTCCGCTCTTGCTTTCTCCAAGGCTGTGCCACTTCCTTTCCCGGGCATTAGCATAGCCTGGCTTCCGTACGAAGCATCAATATTGCATTTGCAACAGGCACTGGGAGTGGTAGCTTGAGCATTGGGAGCTGACCGAATATAGTCATGGTGAGGAACCATATGTCATAGAACCATGGCCACAAATACAGGACTTTTTTAGCACATGGCGCTGTTATTCAGAATCGTATTGCAGGTTTTCCTGTCCCCCCCCCACAACACTCACAAGCGAGCCAAGCATCTCTTGCTCTGAACGCCCAGCCCAGGTATTTCCACGGCTTGATCGTATTGATTAATAATATCTCGAGGCATCGACAGCAAGTAGAGTAGATCGTCACCCAACGTCTTCGGTAGGGTGGGGTGAGCCAATACCGAAACTCTCTGTCCTTGATTAGCAGGACACACGACAGACTGGCTCGCTTCGCCACGTTCAATCAGTCTACGGACGAATTAAACTGCAGCGTACTAGATGATTCTACCGCTATATACAATCTCCTCGTTACTTATTCGTTGTTTTGTGAATCTCGGCGATTGATACGAGTGCGTTATGATGATATCAGTCCGGGCTCTCGACTAGATAGAAACTTCGTAAGACTTCGCTTACGGCAACTACGCATGAGTACCGCATTGCTTGCTTTTACTCCTTGGAGATTTTAACACTTGAACTCCTCTTGTTTGGCATCGCGATATACGTCCACAGAGCCGAATGTGATGATAATTTACATGCATCAAACAATAGACCACTGGCAGGGAGATTGTAGCCCACTCCGCTCCTGTCACCAGGAATATCCGACAATATGTGTGCTACTTGGTGTCATGCTTTTGCAAGTACAAAGGTTACTTGTTGTGTCATCAAATCTTGGGTATAGGCTTCGGTTGTGTTGCGGCTGTGTCACATCCGTTGGGTCACTCAGAAGTCCACCCCCCACCGCTTCTTCGAGTTCATCACCAAGCAAGGAGGAAGGCAACATCGGTCAACAAGTAGCCTCTAGCAGGTTATATTCGCTAAAGGTCGCGGTCCACTTGCCAAACAAGCCTTTGTATTTTACTTTTGACCAGGGGTCAAAGAAGACCCGATTCTCATTAGTCAATGCTGACCCTTCAACAACATTCATTCCGATTTCCAGCGTGAAAAAACCCTCCTCAAGGAGATTCAACCTCTCATCAAGCTCCGAGTTCTCTGTGAGCGATCATTCGCTCCTGACAAGCCACCCCCACAAGGCCGTAACGTCTCGCTGTAACCCAACACGTCGTTGTTGATACACCGTGTGTACTCTTCTCCCCACGCTAGACGCTGGAACGTCTCGGTGAGATTTCTCGGCTTAAGGTCATAGTCGATAATATCAGATTTAATAAGGGTAAACCCCCCCTCGATCTTAAGGTAGTGCGAGTAATCCGGTTCCATAGACAAAGAGGATATAAAAAGTCCGTAAATCTCGATCTTATCTTAGTAGCTAAATTAGGCAGCTTAATTTTATAAATTTATATGGCAGGAATAAATAAGGAAACAAGGGGAATAAGGAGATGCCTAGATCTCCTCTTAGACAGGCACGATGCCCACTAGGGACATGGTCAAATTAAGAATGGTTGGATAAATCTAAATGCTTGCGATCGTTTATGATCTCCTCTAGGTCTGCAACGGAAATGTTGAAGACTGTCACAATTTGGCACAGTCGGTCGTCGACCAATAGACGCACCCGATTGTTGCAGTCGATAGTTGGCCCAAGAGGCCGAAGATCTTAACGAGCCTGCGACCTGGTATCTATGGTTTTTCTTTGCCTTACTGGAAGGACTGAAGACGATCCATCATAGTTTCCACCGGCCGCCCTGCGGAATAGGAGGCTTCTTCCGTGGAGGTGGCCTCTTGAAAGGGGTTGAACGGATAGGAGCATGCGAGGGACTAACAATAGCCAGGTTGGATTGAAATTCCATGCATGTGTCAATAGGCTGGCGCCGTGGAATATGATGGCGACGTTTCATCGAGACCTTGTCGGGCAGTTTCCAAATCCTTACTTTAGTTGGAGGCATCGGGCCGAAATCACAGTGCCTTTGACGGGACCACCACACAGACAAGTTCATCTCCGACTGCCCTGCGTGTTCCCGCTTAATCTTGGCATTTATCGCTGGCCACCTTCTACGCGATTCCGTTTATGCCTTGGCATGGCAGCCGAAGGCTTCCCGCATACCAACGTGTTCTTGATATCTTGCGGGAGTCCTAGCGGTGCCACACAACATTTCAAGTTTCCGCGATGAATGACCCCACGACCGGGTGGGCCGTGGTGAAGAGATAGTGAGGAAGACACGTAGTAACTGTCATGGTGTGATAGACAAGTCAGTTCTGGACGATCAGACCAAAGGACAAGTCACTTGACGAGAAGAAGGCAACCCCTTTGGTTGTACGATCAACAGTCCCTAAAAGATATCCCTGCAACTGATTCGTCCGTACAGTCTCGGTTGTTTGATGTATGTCAGCTTCCCTTGTCTCTTGCCTTTGTTCAACAAGATTAGGTAGTCTCGGTGTGACTTGTGTAACTCTGAGCTTCAGTGGTGAATCCTTGAATGGGTGGCTGGCCCCAGAACGTTGTGCATATGTCGACCCAGCCTTTGGGGAACATACAGCACGAAATCACACGCTCTACTTAGTAGTAGCCATGATTTGAAAGGAGTCATTTTATGGATAACAGGTGTCAATGGCTGATCGAAGGTGTGTCGTCAAACAGCTGCTGCAGCAACGCCTCACTGGCGTGCAACTACCCAAGAAGGTTGAAGGGAGCGCCCACGAGGAGTAACCATTGACCGATACGCTTGTTTTTACACAGCATGATATGATCCGGTTTTGTACAGCAAAGAAATCCAAGGACATCATTTTGCGTCGTATCTTGATATTCACAGCATTCAACGGTGCAGCATCAGCTTTGGGGAGGTCTTATGTGATGTAGATGTGGCATAGATGCAAATGTTGCGTGCGTGGCCTCTGGTTAGCTAATAACAAAGAAGATACCTCGAAGCGCCTCTCAAGATGCCCATGGGAACGAGACTCGCAGGAGACGATCTTCGGGCTTAGTTAACCCATTAAGGGCTAGGCTATAATTATAATAAAGAATAATTCTTAAATATAATATAATATTATAACCTAATATTAATACAATAATTTATTTTAATTTATATAATAATAAAAGAATTATATTTAATTATATTATTATAAAAAATTTAGCCTTTATAGGTATTTTAATTACTTAAATTTCTATATAAAAAATAAAAGAATTATTTAATTTTTATTTTTTTTAAGCTATAATCTCTTAATATTATGGCTTTAAACCTTAGCGCTGCCGAGTATAAGAACTAGTACCCTCTCCCTTATCCCCTCTAGGACCCAGAAACAAGCAACATCAAAGAGAACACAAAACTCGCAGGAGACAAGAGAAACCTGGCTCAGGCCGCCTTCACTGGTTGCTCCCAGCTAGCCACAGCCACATTGGGCTTATGGGCCGTCTGCAGCTGGCTCTCCTCTGCACTATCATTGTCAAAGAAAGATGAATTACTCAAGTTATGGAGCCTATGCCGCGTTGTCAAATGTCGGGCGGCTCAGTGCGTATAATCTAGATCAAAGGTTACCAATGGCTAGGTATGTGTCACGTCTTGGCCTCCCTGTCGCCCATGATGGCTGCCCTGAGACTGTTGTGATGGCCGAGACATGACAATGCCAGGCCGTGTCTTGGCCCAGTTGTGGCTTGAATTGTGCATCACATAAAACGCCACCCAGATAATTATGCAGTGTCCCAGCACGCACAGTGCTTCTCGCGAAGGTACCGATACATTCAGCGCCTTGGCCGTCGAGCCGTCACCTAACATAGCCCCTGTAGAAATGCAGTCCCCCATAACGAACCAAGGCGCGCCATCTCCACAGCGGCTGTAACCGCCTAAGGGATGTCAGGCACCTACAGGCTGGCAAGTCTCTGGGTTGTTGGCCTCCAACCCCAAGCCGCTGGCGTTTGACACGCATCCCGTGGGGCCTCTACATCAGCGGAGGCATAAACAAGTTGATTTACATCAGAAAACTCCATGCGCGCAGACGGTTCTGTTGGCCCATGTCGGATATCAATTGGTAGGGCATTTGCATAGAAGCCAGACAGGTGCTTTGCGCAGGCAATAGGCAAAGTCTCTACTGTGAGGTCTGGCGCCCGCCCGCGCGATGGGCTCCCATTCCCTGGATGCGGCCTCAACACCAAAATTCCCAGCATTCACTATCACGGCTCTGGATCCTCGACTTCAAGGCACTCCAACGGCCTGGTAAATATGGGTCATCCTGTTCTTCCATGCTGTAATTGGTCAGAACTCACGCCCCATGGCCTGTATAGGGTATTCTTTCACGTCGTTGAAGCGTGACGATTCCTTGCCAAAGAAGAAGCAGCTGATCGAGAAGTTTTATTACTACTTTTGGCATCGTGACTATCTTGCCTCTCAGAGGCCAAATGTTACATAGAGCGTCTAGATACGCTCTGACACCCGAGATGTCGTAATTGGGCGAGCTTTCTCCATGGGAACCCCTTACACGTCGCTTCTCACCATGTCACTCACAAGACCACTTCTAGCTTTGTAACAACATTGATGAATCAGCTGTCTTGAACAATAAAGACGTTTCGCGCGAATTAGTCTTTTCAAAACGGATGGAACTCCTATCATTGCCTTTGACCCAAGTTCCCTATGATGTACGCCTCAATCACCCATTGTGCTTGAAAATGAAAGCGGGCAACATCGGAGACAGAGTACGAACTCAACACATCCCTAACCCGAAGACGAACGCTCTGCCTTCGTATCAACTTTTGTAATCTGTGCAGTCAAAATGAGCACGCACAATGTGCTACAAGTTAAGAGATGCCATGCTCCTTGACATTTAGTCGTCGGCAAAATAACTAGTTGGTAGCTTAGGTCATGTGGTTGGCCAAGGTTCGGCGATTTCTGTTCCTGACTTCCTGACTGGCGAAAAGATCACACAATCATGACTGGATTGCCGCTTAGCGAGTAAGCCATGTCTTCCGGGCCCCTTAAACTGATAAGGACCCAAGTTGGCTACATCAAAGAATGAAACATGCTACCTTTAAACAGGCAGGGTTGATCGAGATCGGAGGCAGTGAGTGATTTGCATGTCACCACATCCGCAGGCCGAGAGAACAAAAGCCAGGATATGACTCACGTACATTGTAAACTAACTGAGCCTTGCAACGGATGAACAAGTGATCTAATTCGGGTCAAGGGTGTCGCCCTTGGAACGTATTAGTATTAAAGGTGAAGTGACCCGATACTGCATTGGACGTTGGCAGACGCACTTGCGAGCCTTGTGCATGCAGCTAACTGAGTATGACTGCAACACGACTGGATGAAAGATAGGAAGTCAGCCGCGAGATGATGAATATGAACACCGGGGATATTTATTTTCAGTGCAGCGCTTAGGTATGAAATGCGTCCGCCTGCGTGATATTCTACACTGGGATTATCAGAGGACATGGCGCCGAAATTCCAACACGTGATAAAGTGACCGGCCATCAAGGCGAGGATGACTGAATATCCGGGAGCTCAAGACTAACTGAGTGATGTGAGGAAGGGTCGCACAATCCCTTGCATAAACAACACCGAGCTGGAGACCCAGCTTAATCCTCTTCCTGCCCTGACTTGCCTTGTCGACTTGTGGTTCTAGTGAGGAGGACGACGAAGAACAACGCCATAACGGATAAGGCCCTTACAACTTCTTTATATTAGGGTTTATGGTAGTGATGATGTGAGTGGCGGATTGAGTGGATCGAATGGCCTGAAGCCTGCGATTTAAGCACTTCCACTTATCTGCTGGTATAGCAACTATGATGAAGTGCCTTCTATTAATGATCTCAATGAGGTCGCTCTCTACGCGATGTGATCTATTGTAGAGGCTCAGAGAGTTGGTGCAGAGCCTTTGTATACTTAGACATAGCTCCAGATCTGGGAGAGTGTCCTTTCCTCAACATATGATATTGACTGGCTATGAACCACAATCCGAGCTGGCGTCCGTCAAGATTACCGATCCAGTAAGGCAGTAAGTTATAGTTATTTAACAAAGGGAATGCTTCTGAACGAGAGGATGAACAATAGCGAGCCTAGGGCCATTGGTGACTGCCCTTGCGTCACATAAGCAGCTTACGGTTCTTGCCACACGCTTTTAATAACCTCACCTAGGTACCTCGAATACCTATCTGCTTGGTTAGTCTATCTAGCTGGGCTCAATCCAGGGATATTAACCTCTCTCTTTAAGTTAATTAGTTACTTTACTTAAATCATAGCCTAGAGTTAAGCTATAATCTAAACCATGAGTTATAGCTTAGCAATAGTGCATAATCAAGCCATATCTTATGGTTGAACAATAGCCTATAGTTTAACCATACCTAATAGTTAGGCCATGATCTATGGTTAGGTCATAGCCCATGGTCGAACTATAACCCATAGTTAGGCCATGATTCGTTCATCTTGCAAATAATCAAGGCTCTCGCAAGCCAGGACCTCCAGTATTATCTCGGCCATCCCGAGACACGCGTTCATGGAGGAGCCATATTTGGAGGAATGATCAAGTCCGTTGGGGAGATAGTAGCTAGAATGCATCCTCGGCGTTGGGCCGCCGTGGCTTTGGTAGCTTTCGACCCAGTCATGTTGTCGAACCATTTCAAAAGCCATCTACTTCCAGGACTGTGGCGTTCGCCGCCTCTGGGTTGATATTGGGTTACGTTGAGTATTTGTTTTGTCAGTATAAAAACGAATGCACTAATGACTTTTTTCTTGGTGAGTGGGTCAGTGACCCGAGAGAGATAAGATAATTCTGCCAGCTTATCAGCTTCACCGCCTGACCGACATATTACGACCCCGCATTCTATTTGTTACATGGGTGTATCCTCCTGTAAACACCACCACCATTATGAAGACATCTCATGGGACTATCGCGATGCCACCGGCTAAAGCCCTTCATCGCCATCAATCTTCGCTTGAAGGTATCATCGATTTCACTAAAAAACCCCCCTTAACCCAAACCCAACGTCTCTCAGCCTCTCGCCAGTTCAATCAGTTGGCCAGCTATTTCGACGTTTCTAATAGCAGCAATAAGGATTACGACCATATGAAACTTATGCGCTTCACGTATAAATATACACGTTCTAAGGAGTCCAAGGATAACTTCCTGCGTGCATTCTTTAAGTCTACGGGTCTTTCGATTAATATAAATAAAGATATCAATTTATCCGATACGGACCGACGGGCAGAATTACGTAATTCTTTTTTTAACTTCGCCGAGTACCTATTTAAGAACTTTTTTTTACCATATATATTTCTATAGCCTTCCTCTAATATCGGTCTCTGACCACGTCACTCATAGTGAAATCATCTACCAAGAAGACTCCCCAGCCCTCGCCCGCATCCCACTCGGCGGTTCAAAGAGCACAAGGAGGCGAGGGGCACAATTTCCTTAGTACCCCAGAACGCCTATCAACTCTCCGAGGTGCATACTTAATTCGTGATCGTCATCGCTACATTATTACACGTCGCTTCGATAACATCAAAGCTTTTCGACGTATCCACAATACCAACCGAGATAGTACCGTGGCCAAAGACAACGATAGAAGCTCCCTCGAAGAAGAGGAGGTCTTCGACACTCTCGAGGTAGCACACATCTTGCCACATTCGCTGACTCAGGTGAATACGAGCAAGGAGTTAATATGAACCCTTATTCCTCATCAAGTATCATCTTTACTAACTACGGTTCTTCTAGAATCCCTCGAAAGCAGCGGCACTAGCGATTCTTAATATATTCGACAGTAAGGCTACGTTTCTAATCGAGGGAACAAAGATCAACCGGCCGCGTAATACTATGACCCTCACGCATACCATGCATCGCTAGTTCGGCGATTTTCAGATTTTCTTCGAACCTATTGATCACCAACAGCACACCTACTACATCAATACCTTCATGCCAATGATCTTAAAGAAACAGTTTCCTATCACTCGAACACTCTACCTCACTAAGTCAAGAACGATTAACCCTCCTTCGCCTCGGTTATTAGCGATACATAACGCCATTGCGCATATTCTCCATCTCTCTGCTACAGGGGAATACATTAATCGAATCCTAAGAGACCTAGAACAACATAGTGTCCGGGAGGACGGTTCTACAGAGATAGACCGGTTTGTGAAGCTTCGACTAGATGGGTGGTCAGCTAGCGAAGTGCAAGGTTAATAAAGCTTAAGGGGTGCTGACCATGATACGATAACCCCTTTCAGATATGACAAGATGTACTGAAGCCTTCTCTGTCACCTTAACCCCTGTGTACATCGACTCAAGCTAAAAAAAAAAAAAGTGATTCTGGATCTTTGGTGCGTGCACTAATTGGGCTAACGCATAGGCGGGTCCTGCAGTCTTGCATTCTATCCTCTACTTGTGTAATACTGCGTTTAATTTAGAGTAACGTAAACCAGGAAATAAGGTTGAAAGAATCATTGAAGACGGCGCATAGTGATTATACTAAGTAAATGGCTTTTTTGCTCTACCCAAGAGTCATTCTCCGGGACTGTCTTCAAATTAGTTGTCGATCTTCCGCCCTAATGTTCCATGTCATCCTAAAGCCAAATGTTCGGAAACTCTCCTAGAGTGCCAGAAAACAAGTAAGACTTATACCGCTAATAGAAGGTGTACGGATTAGCATATTAGGATTTACTGGGAGTTTTAAGCCCTTCTGGCTGCTGTTTTCCTGAGATGGATAGACAGATGGTTTTGTCTTGGCTTAGCGGGTTCCTCCATCGTCATCTCATGAAAATGCTTATCAACGTAGACAATTCGATATCTTGCCATTCGTACACACGTTGAATGCTCATATCTACACAAAATGTCACTCTCGTCTGTATCCTTTAATTCATGATTTACTTTCCTGAGTTGGTTGGAAGCTGGATCAAACCCCCTCCCCCGCCTGGGCCTTATCCTCTGTTTCGCACTCAATCCCTCATATCAATGAATTATAAGCATTTCACACTGCGATAGCCATGATATAATCAATTGGGCTCAGCTCTGAACGACTCTCTATGATGCACCAGGTTTCAGCTGTGGTAGATTAGTTGAAGATGTTGCATCTTTGTTGTTTCTGGGTATCGATACTGGCATATTACTCGACTGAATACCGTTATAGGCCTCTCGCGTGATTTTCCAGTTTTAAAAGATTTGAAATTATGATCCTTTGGGTGTTGGAGAAGGGAAAGTCTGTAACTCGCAAAAAGCTTGCTGCGAGCAATTGCCAGTAGACCAGTAGATCTCGATGTTAGCCAGGGGCTGGGTCTCATTTTTCACTTTCTTCCTGGTTAGCTTTTCTCTAAGATAAGGCTTCGCTAAAGCAACCGACAAATTTGTTTCTTGTATCCAGAAGCCCATCTTCGTTTGATGACCACTAAGCAGTGATGATGTCGTATGGCTGCGGACAATGATGACGGCTCTTCCCAGGACAGCAGGAAAGTCACGGCCATCAAACGCAGAATGACGGCCTTTGGAAAATCCGATTAATGAAATACATATGTGCAAGTACCAAGCTGAAGTGCCAGGTCAGAGGCTGGGAATAACATCAACGGAGTGGTCGGGGTCGGTCGTGCCATGGCGTGGGGATCTCATCTGCCTTGAGTCGCTCAGTACGATCCCCATCGGCCTATACTAGCATAGAGAATGTCCCTTCATCTTCAAGTGTCAGTGAATGTGCGTATCTATCCAAACGCAACATACTAGCAGGCTGCATCTTAAAGTGGTCATGATGGAGGCCAGCTAATGGAGGACTGACCGCAATGAAAGTTTCGCACCATCTCTAATTGATACTGTAATGTAAGTAGGAACTCTACAGAGAGTGTATATACGGAAGGAAAGTTTTTATGGGCAGATGAGCGAGGATTCTGCGAAATCCTGACTTGGAAATCGTGAGACGGCCGCGTTTGAGTATCCAAGTATGGGAGTCATGAAAACAGTACATTGGGTGTTTATCGACCCAGAAAACTCTATTGGCGTTCCGTAACGGCTCATCTATCCCGCATTGACAACTTTTGCGATGCCACAGGAAGAGATGAGGGCTTTCATGACTTTAAGGCTCTCGGGTATCAAGGTCAGGAAAACGCGGAACGTGGCATATCGGCATAAAACAAAGTCTATTCGCTAGAAAAAAGGAAAAGAAAAAGGCATTTTTAGACCGGTTCCGACCAGTAGCGAATAAAGAATCAACCCCTCATGGGGTCGAAAGTTTTAGGGCTGTCTCTAACTCTTCAACCGTCTAGCTGATGGGTCACTGGTACGAAGGAGGGGAATCAAGCATGCTGTCAGTGTGAAGAGCTAAGGATGCTTTTTTGATATAAGGCATTGGTCATAGCTAATTGTAGAGCTTTTTGGTTCCTGTAGCCTGGATTGCAAGAATGGCCTAATATAAGATGCCACGGACACATCTTGGCTTCGGGCATTTTACACGAGAGGCCACCCTCTAGTCAGCAGATAGAGATGGATCTGTTTCAGTGCAGAGAGAAGACAATACTAATAGCATTTTTATAGCTCTTGTTTCCAAGCTGCTGCGATCACAGCTGATCTATAGTGACTGCACAATGCTATCTTCGACATCGTGCTACTATACCCGTATCTTGCACGTCAGAATTCCCCTACCTATAAGAGTAATTTGACCATATAGCACTCCTCTGCAGACCACCAAAGACATGCAAGAAAGAAGCTATGACGAGAAGATTGCCAACCGAGCACAGTATATCGTCGCCCCGTTCACGACGAATATATCTAGAGTGATCAATGTTATCGCGGGGGTAGCGGTTGCACTATCACTGCCAGTAATTAGGGTCCCCCGAGGGTGATGAACTCCTCTTAGTGCTTGGTGCTATCTATCAAATGGTTGTGTGGTTTCTTTACGGTATATCGTTCTGGCGTGACCTGGGACTAATTAGCTTGATAAAGTCCGAGAGGTGCCAGAGCTTGGTGCAACCTCGGAGTTATTGGAGTCGTTTCTGTTGGTACTAACATATATAGCAGGGTATCTTCCGTTTGAGACTAAATGTGTTTGGCCTGCTATGGGACCGGTTTGTAGGCGGACTTAGGAGTAACATAGGGGAGGGGGGATTTAAATAAGAAAAGGACCTTTGATTTAGAAATTACCCTAGCTTTATACAGAGCCTTATTATATAAGAGGTATCTTACTAATATACCTATTAGCCTATATAAGTCTAGTAGCCTAGGCAAGGTAAGCTAGCTTACTAGGTTAGCTATAATATTATAAGATAATCCCTATATTTAATAATATTTTTATTTTTATAAAATTATTACTTATTTTAATTATATTTTTTTAATTAGACTTTATTTAAAAAAGATATTAAAATATCTTAGTTAAAATTTAAATAAGTTTAATAATAAAAGCTTTATAATAATAAAGGCTTTATGCTTAAAGCCTAAGGTCTTAATAGGCTTAAATTAATAATTTATTTATATAATTATTAATACCTTTAATAATAGCTTTATTTATTATAAATAAATTATATCTTAATTAGCTAAAGAGCTTAAAATCTTTTTCTTATAATAGTTCTTACTTTTATTATTAATCTTTTAATTATCCTTATAATTCTTATTTATTTAGAAAAAATATAAACCTTAAAGAATTACACTTTTAATTAATTATAAAGCTTTTTTAGATTTTTTATTTAATATAATAAAAGATATTAATATTAATAATAAGAGTTATAAATTATGCCTTATATATTTTATTAATAACTTTTATGCCTATAAGAAATATATATTTCTTTTAAGTTAATTATTTAATTTTTTTTTTACTTTTATTTAAGATTATTTAATAAAAAAAGCTTTTATTTAATAAAATAAAATTAATAATTTATATTATAATTAAGTTTAAAGAAGCTAAATAAAAAGAAATTAAAAATTAAAAATTAAAAATTTATTTAGTTTTTTAATTTAATTAATTATATATTTATTATAGTATTTTAAATAATTTTATATAATATTATTTCTTAAATCTTATTATAAGTATTTTTTATATTTTTATAAAATATATAAAAAATTTTAATAAAATTATTTTAATTATATAAAAAAACTTATTAATAAATATTAATTATATTAATTTAATTATTTAATTAAAGATCTTTATAAAAAGCTATTATAATTTTATTTTATATAATTAATTAATTAATTAATTATTATTAAAATTATTATTAAGATTATTATTATTACTTATTTATATAAGGTAAGATATATATATCTTATATTTAATTAATAGATTTAATAAATTAAACTTATTTTTTCTTTTATTATTAAGCCTAATATTACTAATTAGCGCTAAACCTTTAGGTTTAAACTTTAATATTATTTACTAAGATTTATAATATTAATTACTTTTATAACTTGATATTTCTTTTTTAATATTATAGGTAATTTATAGCTATATTAATATCTCTTTAATATATTTTATTATATATATTCTAAGATATAAATAATATCTTAAGTAAGAATTAATATTATAAGCTATTTATTATATAATTAGCTTAGTGCTATATAATTAAAAGCTTAGAAAAATAGCTTTTTAAGCTAATTAAATATCTTATTTTACTTAACCTTATATTAAAGGCTTTATAGCCTAAAGAGCTTTATTTTAATTTAATTTAATTAATTATAAATAATTATAATTATTTAGAAATAGGCTAAATAAAATAAAAAATCTTATAGTTAAAGATTATTAATTTAATCTTTTAATTAGTATTTTATAGCTATTTATTTTATATAATACCTTAAAAGGCTTTATTAAAAGCTATTTCTTTAAGCTTTATATAAAGCTAATTACTTAGGCTAAGAATTATTTAAATAAAAAGAAATTTATTATAAATAAAAATATCCTTATTTAGATTTATTATATTATTTTAATCCCTAAGTTAAAAATCTTAATAAAAGAATATTATAATATAATTAAATAATTTATTTTTATTATAAATAATAATTATAATTATTAAACCCTTATTAATAATATTAATAGAAATAATATTAATTCTTTAATTAATTAAAAATTATAAGGGTAATTAAAAAATTAATATTAAAAAAAAGAGCTATTATAAAAAGGGATTATTATTAAAACTACTATTAAGATTATTATTACTACTTATTTATATAAGCTAAGATATATATATCTTAT